GGTAAACAACAGGAACCTGATCTCAAAGTTAGCCGGGCCATCGAATGCCGGTGCCGCCCATACGGCACACACTAAGGCTAAAACTATCGACAGTTTCATTGCAATATTAACTATAAATAAAATATTTATTATTAATAAATTAATATATGAGTTTTCAATGTAACTGTCTCCGATAATTTAAATCCTTAATTAATTGACTTCATGCCAAAAGGGAACTTATATATTAAGATTTTAACGTGGTACATTAGGTACTTGGTAACTGCAGGAATTATTATCAATAAAATTTCAGGGTTACAGTCAAAATCATTATGACGTGCCTATGTGAATACAGTATGACTTATTTTAAAGTTATTTAAATAATGTAGCTAGTTTAAATTAATTCTTAGTAAGATTTCTTAACAATTATTTTAAATGTGATATTTAACCTAATTTAAATTTATTTAAAATCGTTAATTTTGCATTAATAATAATTTTAAATTAGTTTTAATTGTAAATTATTAATACTGTATATTAACGTACCCTATAGGTAATGGGTAAAGTTAATTGATAAAGGTTAAGATCCTTGACTTGTTTTTAATTAAAAACAACTTTGTGATAATTAGTATTTATCAGTATTATATAATATACTTTTGTATACAGTATACCACAGTAATCTAATTAAATATGTTTGAAATACAGTGAAATGATTAATTTAGCAAACATCATGTGAATCATTTTGAAATATAAATATATTAAAATACCCAGGAGTATTAATTTCTTAAATAATATTCTTTGACTATTTATATGAGTATAAATAATTAAAATTAAACAATACCATTGATATCATAATTTTATAATATACTATATATTTTAATAATTAAGTCATATATTTAACTACATTAAAATTCATGCTAGTAATTGTATTTACCCTTGGTGTATAAGTATAATTATCAAATGTAATACAACAGGTGATAACAAGGTTATTTACCATCAAATTGTAGACTTTGAATGTTTAGTACAATAGTGTTATATTTTATATAGTTAGTACATGTCTCATATAATATTTATGTTCAGTAGATTAATATAAGGTTTATTAAAACCAAATCCGTTATAAACTAAATATAATTAATTTTAAAGCAAACATTTGTTTGTCATTAAATATTTCTCACACTTTTGTTAATAATTAAAATTATCTTAAATTAAAATCTATTGCCACGAATACATCATTTATAAAATTAATTGTAAAAATACAATGTTAAAAATACTAAATTTTAAAACAAAATGAGTTTAATACTGTATAATTATTATACCATGTTAACCTATTTGTGTAGTTAGAATAAAATTAATTATTACAATTTTTAACTTAAGAATATTTTGTAATTTTGACACTTTACCAAAAATCTACTTGATGTTTGTTAGTTAAATATAAAATAAATCCTATTGTAAATAAAAATAAAAATATTGATATAATTAACAACAATTCAAGGGTATAAATCATAATCAATAAACTTTACCCATTATCCAAGGTGCGTTATTAAGCACTATTTAGAAATTACAAATACATTATAAATTAACTACTGTATATTTATAATTAGTTTAAAACGAGTTCGTACAAATACAGTATATCAAAATTAAATCAGCTATGTAACTTTAAATTAATCTTACTAAAGTCTAACCAAATATCTAGCTTATATTGAAAAATTATTTATATTACCCCATAATATAGCTTACTGTACGGTATTGTTTAGACACGTTAATATGATAGTAAACTGGCCATGACATTGTTATGATAATAATTCTTGAGATGTACCAAGTATATTATCTACTACCTTGAAATAATTATATATATAATGAAGTTCTCGGCGTGAGGTAAGATTAATTAAGGATTTAAATTATCTGAGACAGTTACATTGAAAAACATTTATTAACCTATTAATATAATTAAAAAACATTTTTATTTTTATTAATATTGCAATGAAATTGTCAATAATTTTAGCCTTAATTACCGCCATATGCGCGGCACCGGCAGTCTATAGTCCGGCTAACTTCGAGATCCGGTTCCTATTATTCACTCGACAAAACAGAGTGATCGAGCACGTTATGACCCTGGGTGATCACCAGGCTATTCAGGAATCGCATTTTGATGGAAGTAAACCGACCAAGCTCATTATTCACGGCTACTTAGACATGCCTGAATTGGATCCGTGGATGAAATTGATGAAGGACGAGTACCTGGATAACGGTGATTATAATGTGATTATTGTCGATTGGTGGCAGGGTAACCACGGACTATACGACGAGGTCAGTACAGTATAGTAACCTAGGTATAATTATAAATTTTGTAAAACTCTGTATTGGACTTAGGCTGTACGCAACACTCACGTTACCGGGCAAGTGGTGGCCGACATGATCAAGGACCTACAGGTTTAGATACGCATAACATGTTTTAATATAATAAATTAAGTCATTATTAATATGATCAGAGTCTAAAAGGCCTAAAACTGAGTGACGTCCACATACTGGGCCACTCGTTAGGCGCACACGTCGCTGGGTTTACCGGTCAAGATTTAAACGGACAGGTGGCCAGGATTACCGGTTTGGACCCTGCTGGTATGTTCAAAAATTTAGCCAGAAAATTATAATGCTATTATTAATTTATACATTATTTTCTATTCAACTTTTAGGACCCCTTTTCGACGGACTCCCCGAAAAACTTAATCCATCTAGTGTAGATATTATAAAATATCATTATAAATTATAATTTATAATATATTAAATTAACCATGATTATATTTTTTTAAAAATTATCCTGTCAATTTTTAAAGGCCCTATTCGTTGACGCCATTCACACGGACGCCGACCCCCTAATCATCGGTCTGGGAATCCACGAGAACTCGGGTCACGTGGACTTCTACCCCAATGGCGGCCACAATCAGCCGGGTTGTGAACTCCTGCCCATACCGTGCAACCATTTAGCCGCCCCTACTTTCTATATGGCCAGCCTTAAGGCGGACAATCCCAAGGGTGTGGCCCTCCAGTGCCCCGACTATGACACTTATAAGGCGGGCAAATGTTCGACAACCGACGCTGTCATGTCAGCCACGTTGGGCGAGGATGCCATTAAAATGAGCATGTACAAACAACAAACACAGGGCACCAAGTTCTTTTTGAAAACCCATTTACTGTACCCTTTCTTTGAAGGTTAATCAATTAATGCTAATATATAATATAGTATCAAGAAAATAGTGCATTAGTTTTCATATATTAATATTCAATTTTATTATTAAAATTTACGAATTATCTACAATAATGTATTGTATAATGTATACTGTTGCAATTACTGATTAAATAAAATAATATTAATTGCGAAAATTAGGCAATTTTAAAAATAAGTAAAATTAATAAAATAGCCAGTTAAATTCTATATATTCAATCACCAAGGTCAATTCAGTTTTCAATCACCATCATGTCACCACCGTAACTTCGCTTCGGAGGTATAGTCTGGGGCTCGTGTTTCAAAGTCATTGTAGATGGCGGTATTGAGGCACCGGCCGACCCTACCGGGGTGTCAACGGCCGCCCACACCTAACGTGGCGCCCCACCCTAGTATATTCAATTGAAACCCGCCCGACCCCATTTTAACCCCGGTGTTGGCGTTAATATTGCCCGACAAGTAGGCCGGACCTAATGTAACCTCGGCCTTTATCGCACTAGCCTCTGCCATTAAGGCGACCCCGGTGAAATCGGTGCCTGTTTTAACGCCCACGTCAATGCCCGCGTTGGGACCCTCGGCCCCCACTGTCCCGATACCGCCCCCGTAGTCGGTTTCCAACTTTATGGTGTGAACGTGAAAATCAGCCCCGTATATGGTCAGCTCGGCATTAACGTCCTTTTCCCATGGTTTACCTCGTCCTAAATTTTAAACAAGCAAGTTTTTATAATAGTTTTAATAATTCAGATTAGCGTAACAGATATAAAAGTTTGTTTGATGAATATCGTTTAGAAATAAATATAAAGTATATTTATGTAATTTGCGTAGCGTGCACAAATTAAAAACATCTGTATACGTAATTATTATAGCATACATGTAAAATAAATATTTAATTTTGAGTATATAAATAATTGTATCAATGATACAGTATTATATTTATCATTAATAAATTATCAATTATGCATTTACAATTCCTATTTTAAAAATATGAGTAGTAATTTATTATTATCAATATCATAATTAATAACGAGGCCCAACTAGGAGCCTGGCCACTTACTACGGTCAGCTTCGGCGTTAATACTAGCCTCATGAGCGGCACCGGTGTCGTGGTTGGCCCTCCATCCCAAAATTGACCACTTCATTTTGAGTATTGTAAATATAATCTGGCACAACTGAGTAGACTTCAATTATGGTTTAACGTATAAACTTTATACTATAAAGTATATTTATACAAATTATAATTAACAGTACTGCACCACCAACTGTATATGAGTTATACTACAATTATAAGTAATATTTTATAACACAATTTTAAATTATTATATTAAAATGTGAATTTATTATACAGTATTAATATAATATCTTATAACTGTAAATATAAAATTTAAATTTAAACAATATACACATTATAAGTATTAGTACAGTACATACGAGTATTTACATAATAAATACTAGGTTTTACATTAAGGGTGTGAAAAATATTTTAACATTTACCTCTGTATTCCATGATGTACATATATAAACAAATATTTGGTATACGTGATTAACATAGTGTAAGCGTTTATAAATGAAATATTGAGTGTTAAGTCTGTTAAATAATTATGTTATAACAACAATGTGTAACATAATTGCAATACAGTGCCAATAAAAATAATGAAAATAGGTTTTAAAGTGGTTTCACTAATAGATAATAATAATATACAGTAAATCTAAATGATAAATTAGCCTCTGAAAAGTAAGTTATGTAACTTATCTGTAAATAACAAAGTATTCATCAAATAATTTATATCAGTATTGTACTAGACATGCAAACTTTGCAATTTGATTATAAATAATCCCGTGTTAAATTGCTTTGGGCTCATTCAATAAGTATATACCCACTGGGTGGGGGAGGGTGAGGTCAGCCAAGGCATGCTTACACAATGTTAAAGTCCTATGTACGAGGGGCGTGTAGAGGGAGGCGGTGCCAATTTTTAGACAAATTTTTGCGTATGTACTTATTGAATGGCACCTTTTATAGTCTGACTAGACAAGCATTATATTAAAAATACCAGTATATAGTTAAAATAAAATAAACATTTTAAAAAATAATAAATGTATAAACAATATTCATATTATAATAAAACGTTAATATTTTTAAATAAATTTCAAAATAAATTATTTAATAAACATACACTGGTGCAATGAATTATTGTAAATTTATTTTTAAAAATTACAATCAAATGTCATGACATAAGTCTATTTTTATGTGACTCTTTGAGTAACATTTATAGACAAAACTTTTGGCGCAATTATAATTGCATTTAACATCTTTAACTTAAAAATGAAATCTATTTGTATGTATAATTAAAGTTTCTTTAATGACAAAATATTTGATTACATGAATTGATTTCATTTGATTGCATGTCATTTGACAAAACAAATAATTTTTTCACTCCGAATGTATGCGTTTGTGTTTATGAAGACCAACTTTTTGAGCGTAACTTTTGCCACAATTTTCTTCATTACATTTGAATTTCCTTTCATTCAAATGAACACTACTTTTGTGTCGATTTAGATCTACTTTTGTGTAAACTGTTTGTGACATTCACTCCAATCGCATACATATCTCACGTTTAAATGAACACTATTTGTATGAGCTTTAAGGTTTGACTTATGTTTGAAAACTTTAGTAAAATTTAAAAAATTACATTTAAATTGTTTTGTATTTGAATGTTTGAATTGATGTTCTGTTAAATTACTTTTCCTATTAGTCTTGAATTGACATTTAGGCCAAAAACAGCGGAAATAGTGTTCATTTAAACGTGAGATATGTATGCGATTGGAGTGAAT